TTGCCCTAGTCCTTTTAGACCTTTCAATGACAATAGCCTGCTATAGCAAGCGTACCATGGGTTCACCACCACTGCCCTAGGCAGTCCCATACAGCTATACTTACACAGCTTTCACAATGTGAAGGAATTGTATCATTGAATGAGAGCACACTGGTGTTTGGCTTGGGTTAGAAGCCAAAGTGAATATAAGACATTTAAAATGTTTTCTTCTATTTTTTTTTCCCTAAATGCAAACTGGGTATCAGATGGGAGTCTTGAAAATGTAATGTACCTCTAAGATAAATTAAAGGTAATATTTTCTTTTAAAAGTGAAGTGTTAGACAAAATGCTTGTTGCTGTCTTAATTGCATACTTTTTTTTCCTTTGCTTTGTTCTTTCCCTTTTTTTCCAGTGATGCAGGGTGTCAAACTCACTTCCCACTTGCTAGGCAAGCACTCTGCATTGAGCTATGCCCTAGCCTAATTACATACACTCTTTAATAAGATTTTGTTTTTGAAAAAAAACAGAACTGAAATAGAGTGCATCATTATTAAAATGTATCCTTTGTCAGCTGGGAAACATGCTATTATCCCAGCACTTGAGAGACTGAGGCAAGAGGATAACTGAGTTCAAGACAGCTAGGGCCACAAAGCGAGTTCAAGACCAATCTGAACTAGATAGAGAGACCCTGTCTCAAAAAACAAACAAATGTTTTCTTTGTCTTCACAGCTTTAGAGTTTGATAAATCACTATTATGGTCTAGTAATATGATCCACCCATTAGATTCACTCAACCAGTTTTTTTTAGTACTTATAATGTCCCGCTTGTATGCTGAGGTTTTTTTTACAGTGTACAAATGTTCTAGTTTGCATTCTGTTCTACAGTCTTTATTTCAGTCTGCTTTATAGACAAATAAACAGCTGAAGCTCAAAAAACGTAGTTGAGTTTCCCAAGGCTCTGGCTGATAAAATCTTGAGTCCTATTGTGCATCTACAAGTACATTGTAGAGACCAGAGCCGATGCCAGCACCTACATGAATAGAAACTGAACATAAAAAACTACTGATTTCCAAGCAAAGCCAGAATGTATCATGCTAAATGAAGATTAACAGATTGCAGCTTTCTCTAAGGGCGAGTGATCTACAATTGCAGACTTGCCATGAGAAAAAAAAAATGTAAAGCATTAGAGGGCTTACCACTCCCCATTTGGTCAGTATTCTATTGATATGTGCCAACTAGTGAACTGTCTTCTTTCTCACATGAAGTACTCACTTAAACCCTCTAGAAGAAGGATTTATTTATAGAATAATTCTCAGACATTATAAATAATGGAAAATGGGATTTTGTTTATAGATGCGTCTTTTATAGATTGATATTTTTGTAGCACATCTTTTCCCATAGATGTATGTTATTAGATTTTTGGCCTAAAAGAATAGTTTAATTGGAGTCCCTGTTGATATCTGACTTTTAGAATTGATCCGTATGCACTTTTTGCAACAGTAACAAGAGATAGGATTTCTTGTCAGATGATAACCTGATAATGGTAATATTCTAAAATAGGAGCTGAGCGTGGTGGCTCACACTTGTAATCCCAGCACTTGGAAGGCTGAGACAGGAGGGTCATTGGAAGTTTGAGACTAACCTGAGCTACAAAGTGAGCTCAAGGCAGTCTGAACTGCATAGTGAGACCTTCTCTCAAATGACAAAAAATAAGATAAAAGAAAATAGGAACTTCCATTCCCCCAGTCACCCTCCTCTGATTGAGGTCTGAAAGCTTTCTAGAGAAGGAAGAAAAAGAACACCTAAAAAAAACTGGAAGATGTGCGCTCTTAATGTAGTCTTGTTAACATGCACACAGGACTCAGATGTGTTATTTATCTTTTGACCAGTTCAGTCTAACACACAGTAAATTTTTGTGAGCAAAGAAATTTTCATCGCAATAAAATTGAATATCATTTTTAGCCTTGACAACCTTGAAGATCCCCCCCCCTTGTTTCAATCTGCCTTTCATATTCTTTTTATGACTTTTCACAAGGTTGTTATAAAATCCATTACCGTTAATTGTGGGCTCTTTGAGATTATATTTCACAGCTTTATGTGAAGATCTTTATCTCCTTTATGTATTAAATCATACACAGCCTGCTGGTTTCTCTTCCCTGCCACACAGTGATCTTCTACATATGATCTTCTACTTGTCCATTCATTATCAAAGAGCTCTCCTAAGTCAAGAGTAGTGGCAGAGAGGGTAGACTTCAAGACCCTAAAAAGTTGGCACCTTGCTGATTGCATTTAAAAATATGTGCATAGACAGAAAAGTTATAATCTTAAGCTTGATATGTCTGTGAGGTGGTGAGGAAGAGATAATGTCCATTGTACAGGTGAGGGACTTTACTCACATTTCAGCATAGATAGTTCGTTCATGCAAGTAAAAATAATAAAAATTTTTAAAATAGTAAAAATAGCCCACACATACTCACTTACTGTGTACCAGACATAGTTCTAAGTATTGTACCTTTCTGACTCATTTAATGCTCACAACAGCCCTATATGGTGATTAGTTACTATCTCCATATTCAGATGAGTACATTGGGATAATACAGAGATGTTAATTAGCCCTCCAGTTAGGGCCACACAGCTAGTACCTGAGGATGCTAAGATTTGAACCTAGCCATTGTGTCATGCTATAGAGTACAAATTGTGTTTTGGGAGCCTCCGAACATCTTTTGAGTGCTTCTGTTCTCTTTTACTCAGGTTCCATCAGGGTTCACACAATATGTTTAATTTTTTAATCTTGCAAGTTCATTGTAATCTAAAACAGCTCACAGACTTATTTTTTTCATACCATTTATTTGCCTTTTCAAAAGAATGTCTTACATTCTAGTTCACCTAATAGTTTTTGGTCCATCTGTTCCCTGTATTTGCAATAGATTAGAAGTTAGACTACTTGTAGGGTTAGGTTTGTATCAAATGTTTTTGGCAAGCATACTTCATAAACAGTGTTATATCTTTCACACTCTATTGCCTCTGGGGCACTGGGTGTCAGATTGTTCCACGGATCACATGGTTAAGGTGATACGGTACCCACAGGGCTCTTAAGCTATAAATGATAAATGAGAAGCTCAAAAGACTCAAGTGGGTCATCTTGGGCACTCACACATGTTGAAGCCAGGAGCCACAGCACGGAAGTGTAGGCTGTTTCTTTTCAGCGCAGGACCATATAAGTAAAGAACAAAATATAGAAAGAGAGAGACAGGGACAGAGACAATGAGAGAGAAAAATAGTAGGAAATAGGAAGACAGATCTTTTGCAGAAGTGGAGAGAACAAAAGATGGAAGAAGAGAGCAGTAAAGGAGAGGTAAAAAGACCCCATGTCAGTCCAGCTGGTATAAGGAAAGGAGGCTGTAATATAATAGTCACCCCTGCCTAAACATCCCAAGTCTCAGAGGGGACAAGTGTCTTTTTAGCAGCCCCTACACGTAGCTTCCAGATTTCTTCACACCAATTATAAGCATGTAGAGACCTCAATCAGGAGTGACTTTTGTCCTAAGTAGTTTTGCCTAGTAATAGAGCTAGAAGTTAACTGAAGAGCAAGTTTGTCTTTAAAGAAGAAAAAGGGTTTTGTGAAACTTATCCTTACTGGTAATGACTAATCAGGTCGTTATTGTAAGGATAAGTGGGGCTGTTTTGTTGTTGATACATTAGGTTTAGGCTGGGTAGCCTCCCAAATGCCAGCTTAGTTTTTTTATTTTACAAATCAATTTTTTTACAGAGTGTTAAAGAGTTCAGATTACTTGATGTTTATGGATTTTTTTTTCTTTGTGATTTTCAGTATTTTTATGCTGAGAAAGTGATTCTATTTAAGAACAAGTACTATGCCCTTGAATATTTTCTCACAGGTTTTTTGTTTGATTTTAATGTTTAAATCTTCAACCCCCTTGCATATTATTTTTTCACTTATTATTAAATAAAGCTATAACTCACTTCTTTGTTTCCAGAATGAAACAAATTGCCTAGCACCAGTTGTTGAACAACACTTCTTTTTTCTGTTTGAGAAATACCAAGCCATATGTTCCATTGTCTCCATTTTTTCCCCATTTTGGGGCCTCATTTATTTGTTTATTTATTTTATTAAGTTTATTGGTGCAGTTTAAATATACATAATGATCATAGCATCATAGGGAGTTTATACCTGTATATGATATGCTTTGATTCTTCCTCTTTTCCCCAATCTCCTCCCCTCCTTTGAGTTCCTTTCCCTCTCATTTACAAAGCTTTGTCACCATTTTATCCTTGTTTTCTCATTTTTTCTTTTCCCTTCCTTCCTTTCCCCTTTCTCCTTTCCTAGTTCCTCTTTCTGTTTCACAATATCTATTGTATATTTTGTTCCTTATTTATGCTTTCAGTTTCTCATACCAGAGAGATATATACACAAGATATTTGTATGTATCCCATTTATTTCACTTAAGAACGTAGTATCAAGATGCATCCATTTACCTAGAAATGTCTCATGTTTATCCTTCTTTATGGCTAAATATTACTCCTTTGTATTAAAAAAAAAACAAACATTGTTTTATCCATGCTTTGGTTGATAAGCATTTGCGTTGTTTCCAAGATTTAGCTATTACAAACTGTACATATATTTTGTACTGATTTTTTTTCTGAATCCATTTTGTAGTGATTTGTTTGTAAAGACTTCTTTGAATTACCTGTACCATTAATACATGTTTAAGTTTGTCAAGTGCTTATTCTGCATCTATTGAAATGACTTGATTTTTTTAGTTGCTAATGTAAATAGTACGTTACTTGAAGAAGAAAGTTCTTCCTCGTTATAGTCAGCAGCCCCATCCAGAAACACTGCATTTACTGCATTCACACCCACAGCTATCTTTGAGTAATACATCTTTTCTTCTGTTAGTTTTGACACATTTATTATTGAGTTTATTTCTGTATCTTGCATTTTTGTTCATAAACAGATTGTCACTGTTCACCCTATTATGTTTCTTTCATGTTTCGTTGTGCCAGCTTTAAAGAAAAAATCAGTGAAATCTGTAAAAGATGCCACCTCTCCAGAGGAAGAAACTGAAACAGAAAGACAAAAGGTAAATGTGGTCATTGTTACTTGTTTGATAGATAATTGGTATGTCCAGTTGTAATGAACTAGCCACATGAGTTTTCAGTGTCCTAATTTTAAAAATAAATGGTTTCAGCAATAAAATTTATATAAAATACATAATTAAATATTTTAGCAGCATAGTTTTAAAGTACCACCTTTTTACCAAACACCATTTCTATTTTTTTTTTTTTTTTTTGTCTTTTTTTCTGGTACCCACAATTGAACTCATGACCTCACAGCTTGCCAGGCAGGCACAGTGCCATTAAGCTATATCCCTGGCCTCAAACGTCATTCTTCAACTAGTACAAAGTTAAAATTTATCTCACAATGTGTATCTTTTTATGATTCAGAGGGAAATTTCTCATTAAAAACTTACTGTAAGACATAAAACACTGCTATTAAACCTAAAATAATACTACAGTAAACTTATCTGAATCTGTCCTATGTAATACAGATTTTGCTATTATGGCTTGTCAGGTGCTAATAGCACTTTTTATTGTGAGCAACATAAATTTAATGTACAAAACCAGAGTCTTCACTGAAAGTGTGGTGAACCTTATGCCTCAGTGACTCCAAAAGTTGAATCATAAGCATTTTTGCTGCATAGAAATTAGAGTCAGCAGTGCCTCCCTAGCTGCTCTGCACAGCACTGCCGGGAGTAAGCCTGTCACCTAAACTCTGCCTCTTGATGCATTTTTGTATTCTCCACTAATTGCATGTGAATTATACTCAGAAAGTTACTTAAAGAGTAACACAGAACATCTTTCTAGTGGAAAATGGCTGTAAAAAGTCACACGCAAGTGCCAAAAACAGAAGTAAAAGGAAATAAGTCTAAGGTGGTGATTGAGGAAGATTTGCAAAAGTTGGGGAGCATACTTTGTATTTTCTCTAATATATAAAAGTTGTTTACCTCATTCTGAAAGTGTTCCCATATAATACATGATTGATTAAAAAAAACAAGAAAGTGGAAACATGTTATACTAGATTTCATAAGTAAATGCTAAGATTCTGATTTTATAGAAATGTATTGTTACTGAAAAAAAGGCAAAAGCAAAAAAGCTAAAGAAATTCTTGCTAAAGTACACATTTGGAAAATATATAGTGTGCAAAACAAAACAGATTTAGTGTTATTTACTAGTTTAGAGTTATTACTTAAAAGGAGCAAAGTGAAAATGAAATTTATATTTGAGAGACCTGGGAACTTAACTCCTGCAGCCTGCTAGCAAGTTACACTAAGTGAATTGAGGCCTAGTCTACCATATCTCTACTACCTCTGTGGCTGATAGGCACATCGGTGTCTGGGAGTGAGCCTGCCCAGCTGCTTGAGCCATACATCCTAATGTATCTTTTTGTTTTCCATTTATTATGCATAGGTAATACTCTTAAAGTAACAGTGGGCAAAAAGTGTACTGTTGTACATTTGAACTTGTTTTTTTTCTCTTCACAGGCTGAAATGGCTTTGCTTGTGATGGATGAGGAGGAGGACAGCAAGAAACACTTCAATTACAACAAGATTGTAGAACACCAGAACCTGAGCAAAAAGAAGAAGAAGAAGCTTATGAAAAAGAAGGAATTATTAGAGGATGACTTTGAGGTAACCGAGGACACGAGTCATTAAGCTCTTAAAGATGTAATAGCAGCTCTGGAGATAGAAAGTGGATGTAGTCGCAGGTGTCTTGGAAGGGCCTGAGGTGGAGCCACAGCTGTCATTTTTTACTCTAGTGTAGTTCATCTCCCAGCCAGAGTATGTTACTCTTTCTTTAGTTGACCACAAGATAAAATGATCGACTTCCATTTTGGTACCCGTGTTATAACAAAAATATGTACCCTTATGTTAGAACCCTGTGTACCAATGTTCACATCAGGAAAGCCAGGCTTAATTATGCCTCGTTAAAGAATAGCAGGTTAAGGGAGTGGGGGTTTAGCTCAGCAGCGTAAGCACCTGCCTTCCAAGCAGGCGGTCGTGAGTTCAATCCCCGGTACTGATAAAAATGAAAAAGACAAAAAAAAAAAAGAATAGCAGGTGCACATCATGCTCACTGTGGACAGAGGCCAGCTCATTTGGCTGTGTTCTTTTGAATTCTTAATGTCTTGTTTCTATCATTCCTTCTTTTTTTTTTTTCTTGTTTCTTTTTACATAGTACCTAATCCTAATAGCAATAGATTTTTGAGCCCTCTACAAGAACCTTAGAAACAGCAATTACGAATTACTTTACAATTTTCAGCAATTAAGGTGGAAAAAAAAGACCCAGAAGAAGATGGAGAAAATTGAATTTGTCTAAAGAATAGAGGGAAGTGTACAGATAATTCTCTGTGTAGCTTATAGAAAGTCTTTGGGCAACTCATAGCTCCACTTGGTGTGTGTGAGTCAGTTTCATGTATGCTTCTGTTCCACTGAAGTTTCATTGAACTAGTTTTCTTATAAAAACAAGGGATGATTTGCAGCTAACTTTATTATGAGATCTGCCTTCACAGATTAGTAATCATACGTAAAAATATGTTTCTTGATGTTCTTGCTTTTCTTATTGTCACATCTGTTGACCTCATTATAACACAGTAAAGTTACCCTCCATGCCCAGGTAGACTCATGCTTCTCTTCTTGCTGATCACCCATTGCCTGGCAACACTCAAAGCCTGGCTGGGATGAAGGCTACACTTCTAAATAAGGAACCACATGTTTTTATAGAGAAAAAGAAGATAAGTTTGGGTCTCATATCTGGCCAATCTTGGTCTTGAGTGAATTCTTTCCTATTGTGGTCTTTAAATCTTTTAATCTATGAGTCACCGTTAGTAGCTGCTTATTCTTGGCACCAAGGTTGAAATTTATTAAAGTGTACTCAGAGTGCAATGACTTTGCATAAAACTTCAGCAAATGTCCTGATTGGCTTATTTATCCCAGCCAGAAATCAATTTCATGCTGTATGCAGGGAAAGGCTTTCCTTGGGAACCACTCCCATAGTCAGTCAGTCGAAATAGTCATTGTAGTTAGAAACCATGATATATATGTTGACCACAATAGTTCCCTTTCAGTGGATTGTGAATATGAAATAAGAACAGAACACCCTGCACATAGCAGTCCAAGCATGGGTCTTTAAAATTCACTGGAAATCTGGAAAAGTAATATTCTATGAATCAGTGAAAAGTGCTCGGATTTGTATATTATGTCATGAACAACTAGCCAGCTAGCCACTCTTTTCTAAATTTGTTCTCATTTCTGGGATATTCAGTTTACTCTTTCATTTAAAATTTATTTTTATTTATACATGTTTGCTGTATATAATGATTATATTCATCATGTATTTACTCCTTTTGAATTTTCAGGTAAACGTGAGTGATGCACGATTTCAGGCAATGTATACTTCCCATTTGTTCAATTTGGACCCTTCAGATCCTAATTTCAAGAAAACAAAAGCTATGGAAAAAATTCTTGAGGAAAAAGCCCGGCAAAGAGAACAAAAAGAACAAGAAATTACTCAGGCAATAAAGAAAAAAGAAAGTGAGACTGAAAAAGCATCCCAAAAGAAGCCCATTGATCCTGCCTTGTCAGTGCTGATTAAATCTGTAAAAAACAAAACAGAACAGTTTCAAGCAAGAAAAAAGCAAAGAATCAAATGACTGGATATTGTTTCTTCTTAGATTTAAATGTGTTCTAAAGTATACAAAAACAGAAAAGGGGACTTTAGAAATAAAATCCCGTTATCACCTAAAAAAATCTTTTTCTGACCATAGTAAAATTCCTTTCCATGTATACTTGTGCCTAATTGTGGATGATTAATTAAATTACTTGAATTACAAGATTTATAAAATGTGTATATTTTATGAAGGTCAGTTCTTACAGGTAGAAAGTTACTAGAAATTAGCTTCTTCACAGACTGTTTCCAATTCTGTATAAAAATACAGTGGTATTTACTTGTAAGTGAATGTTAGAGATACTTTGAAAATATGTGTATGTCATCTCGGCCATACCACTCTGAATGCACCAATCTCATCTGATCTCGGAAGCTAAGAGGGTCAGGCCTGGTTAGTTCTTAGATGGGAAAATATGTGTATGTCATGCATTCATTTCTCCAGAAGCAAGAGGCAGATTTGATAGCTATTAAAATAATTTATTTTTCTATCCATAAGAACTCTTTGTTGTTATGTTTAGTAGTTTATGGAATTAATTTATAAATAAAAGCTCAGAAATTCTTACTATTTTGCCTAACACTAATTTGTCTCATTTATATAAGTCAAGTAAACCACTGTTTGGTGAAGAATACCTGAAAACATGGCTTGGGCTCTTTAATTGGACAACTTCTGAAAAGACAGCTGCAGGTTTACATTGTTCATCATCACATTTGAAATATTTGCAAGTTCTACCATGGTTTTTCTATTTGTAGCTGCAGAAAATTCTTCCTGTCTGTCCTTCACATTTTTGGACTGCTTTAGAAGGGTAAGTATGCTACTATAGAGTTTAAGGAAACCCTAATTCCTTTTAAAATTAAAATAAAATACACCTTCAAGGCCTAGACACTTTTAGATCTCATCTGGTATAGATTTTATAAACTATTAACTGACCACTTAGGAAAATTAGGGTGTGCTATTTATAAGTAAGTAGAATAGTCACTTGGAACAAATTATAACTACAGCCCTTGTAAAAAGAAGTGAGAGTTTGACTGGGTTTGTGATGAACAGTAAATTTGACATTTTTGATATAAAAATTCAAACTTACCAATGTAATATATTTCAAAGAGAGAATGCAAAAACTAAGAAAGATATCTGTGAGGAAGTTTAAATAGTCTCTAAAAGGAGAGAAAACTGAGACATTTAAATAGATCATTTTAACAAAAATACAGAGTATCTAGACAAAATTATGTCAATGTCATAAAACACTGACATCACTGAGTCATTCAGCCAAAAACAGTCTCCTGCTGATACATTCATGAACGTGCCAGTATCAATTTATCACAGAAAGGTCATGAATTTTAACGTGTTTGTGAGGATAGTCTTTAAACAGCTCAATAATGCTTCATATTTATTTCTATTCAAGCAAAACTTTTGTTCTCTCAGCAGTTTAATTATAGGTACTTGATTTTAAGTAAACTAAATCTTGTGGTTTAGTTTGGATTTTTTCACTCTGGAGCCCTTTTCAAATCACTGGATTTTTTTTAAAAATCACTGCATATATAAAAAAAAATAAATCTGCATATAATTGTAAAATCTGATCTTTACTGCTGTGGTCAGGCACATAATTATAAGTTGAACATAGTTGATAGTTTTAGGTAAAAACAAAACCACATTAAGAATATTGTCATGTGCTACCCTGTGGTAAATATTCTACGCCAACCCCTAGGTTTTCCAGTGTCTGGTAGTATGATTCAGGAGAAAAATGGCCACCATCACAGTTAAGCAAGCCAATGAAGGTAGTCTAATATTTGTGTCCTGATTAGATTTTGACAGTGGGGCATGTAAAGATAAACTAATTGCTTAAATTAGGGACCTCTTGATCAGTCCTCCCACTCCTAAGCTGTGCCCTGTTCATGGAGTAGTTTATAATCAGTACTTCATTTGTGCACAATCCTGAACTCATTATTCTGCAGACAGCTGCTCCTCTATGAGTGGACCTCCCAGTGTCATAACTATGCTCCTCTTCCAAAAAGACACCATGGTTTCTTGGCACCAGTTTGGAGGGTCACATTTGAACCAACAAAGTTGTACCTAGCTCGATGTTTAGACCAGAGAGAAAGCCAGCAGGGATATGCTCCTTTCTGAGCAAGAACCGGACCTTTTTAGTTCATTCCATTTTCTGATGACTCATGGCTTGGGACTAAAATGATCCCACCTCTCCTTCAAATTCCACATCTGTTTAAGGAACTCACAGTTTCAAATTGTATTGCAGCTTACTGTGTCGCATCACCTGCACTTTGCAAAACAGATTCACTGTGCTTTGATTTCTATTTTGGCCCACTGCATCTTAGACTGTACTAAATCCAATAAGAAAGAACATGCACACACACAGAAAACTGCACAAAGCAAGCCTTTTATTCACAGATAGGCAGCACAAGACAGTAGAAACCTAGAATTGGCATCTGCCAGTCCTCTAAGACTAGGCAAGCTGCCCGAGGTAGAGGAACCTCACCAATGCATGGCCCACCCACATCCCATCTGAGCTGGACAGATTTTGTACCTTAGGGTCACAGGACTTGCTAAAGCTTCAGGTTCCTAAGAGGGATGAGTCCATATTAAGGACACATTGCTACATAACGAAACATCTCCAAACTTAACAGCTTGCAGCAGTAAATACTGACTACATCCCGTGTTTTCCGAGAATCAGGAGTCTGGGAATGACTTAGCTGGGGCTCAGTCCAGGTCTTGTGAGGCAGGAGGTATGTTATCACCTAGGCTTTCACTTTTCCAGGATTTGACTGAGCCTAGAAGGCCATTATGAGCTGGCACACACCCATGTTGGACAAGGCCTCAGGGTTACATCCAGTTGCTAGGAGCTAGCTAGAAATGAGCGGCTAAGGGGTAATGGCTAACTCACTAGTGCACTCCACATCTTTTTTTATATATATTCATATACATACACATATGTTGTTTCTTTCAGCTTCTCACACTGATGGGGCAATATAATGTTCACTTATGTGTCTTGTTTATTTCACTAATGAGTATGGTCAAGTTGCATCCATTTACTTGTAAGAGTCTCCAGTTTATTCTTGATGCTGCATATGATAGTACTTCATTGTATAAAAATACTACATCTTTTTTCATCCATCCCTCAGTCAATCAAGATTTGGCTATTACAAATTATGCTGCTATAAATAGCAATAAATACAAATTGTGCTGCGTGGTGCACATTTTTAAATATCTATCATACTTCTCTTTATCCACGAGTTCTGTGTCAATAGAATCAATGAATGGTAGATGGAAAGTATTGTTTTAAAGGTGTACTGGACATGTACAGACATTTTTGTCATTAAACTATATAATAATGATTTACATAGCATTTTTATTTATTTATTTATTTATTTATTGTCTTTTTCATTTTTTTATTGGTACCAGGGATCGAACTCACAACTGCCTGCTTGCAAAGCAGGTGCTTATGCCACTGAGCTAAATCCCCAGCCCGCTTAGCATTTTTATTATATTAGGTACTATAATAATCTAAAAGTGATGCAAAGTACACAGGAGGATCTATGTATCTATCATTGGTTTCAAACCCACGGCACTTGTGCCACAGCAGGCTAGTTGTATCATTGAAAGCTCTAAAAGGTTCGCCATTGTGGGGGATGAGGTGTCACTTTGTAGGCCCAACCCCCTCTAACCTGCAATTTACAATAGCCGCCCTGGTATGCGAGAAGGAGGTAGAACGGGAATGCCTGTTCTCAGTGAGCCCTCACCCTCTGGAATCCATACTGTGAGCTGGCTTTGTTTTGCAGAAGTCTTGAGGAAGTGGCTGGCCACCCTTTGTGACACTAACAGCAGACAAATTAACAACATTCTTGAGCTAATGAATTTCTTCCTGGGCTAGAGAAGTTGTGAGAACTGGTTGTGATTATTTACTTCACTTAGATAGTTTTAGAATAAACATTGTAGTCTGTCACGTTGTAGCTTGCCACAAAGAATGCCTTTTCACTACTTAATTATCTGGGCTCTGTGAATTGATCGGGTTTACTATATATGAATCCTAAAATAAAGATTGTGCGTACAGTGCAGTGCAGTGCAGTGTAACGCGGTGCAGACAGCAAAGGTGTCTCTCCTGTCTTTCTTTTCCAAGCGCTGTACCCCCCGTGTCCCGACAAGGCGTGCGTGTTTACCTTGCCCGGAGTTCAGAGTGCTCTAGACACTCACGACAAGTGGCGCCCGAATTCAGGGACTCCGAAGGTCGCTTAGGAAGGTAAGTATAATTTTATTACGGGGAAATGGGACAATCTGCTTCCTCTCCTTTCTTAAAAATTCTTAAACATTTATTATCTATATATGGCATATCGCTCAGGTCAGCTGACTTGGATATGTGTATTGATACAATTAAAGAATATAATCCTTGGTTTCCAGATGAAGGAACTTTGGATGTAGAAGTATGGAGGAAGGCAAGGGTTAGTATAGAAAGGGCTATGCAACAGGAGGAGAAGATTCCTTTACGTTTTTGGGCTATTTGGTCGGTTGTGTACTCGTTATTAAAAGCTATGGAAGATGAACATATTGTAGAAAATCTTCAACTAGAAATTAAGCCAGTTATTCAGGAATTGCCCCTCACAGAGGAGGAGCAGAATGTAGTTCAAAATGACGCTATCGCTTTAAGTAGTGAAAAGGCGTCCAAACTAAAAGTAAAATCCACTACAGCCGACTCAGCTTTAGCTGCCGCAGCAATATCAAATTATGACAATCGCCCAATTTTACAGGCTATACAACATTTAACACAAGAGGTGAAACAACTCTCCGTTAAGCAAAACCCGCCTATAGTTCCCTCTGCACCTCCTCCATCTAACCCTAATTGGAGTAAAGCCAAGCTAGCTTTGGCTGATCTACCAAAATTAGGGGATTCTGATGAGGAAAAGCCTGCCTTTGCTTTCCCTGTAATCAGACCTCAGCCAATAGATGGAGAGGCAGTTCCCCCTAGATGGGAAGCATTTAATATGGATGATTTAGCAAAATTAAAAAAGGCTGTAACCCTTTATGGCCCTCAGGCTCATTACACTAGAGAATTAATAACATCGGTAGCAGATCACTATGGTAATCTTGCTCCTTATGATTGGAAAGCCTTGGCCAAAATTCTTTTAAAGGAGCCAAAATATTTACAGTGGCACATGTGGTTTATGGAAGGTTGTGCGAAAAAGGCAAGACAAAATGCTGACGATCGAGATCCGAATATTAGACTCCTTTCTTATCCCATGCTCTCTGGTACAGGTTTCTTTGATACTGTTGAGCATCAGACAGGAGCTCCAAGAGAGATTCATGCTCAATTAAAAGATATTGCTTTAAAAGCTTGGGATAAAATACGGCCTAAAGGATCAGAATATGGATCTTGGGCTAAAGTTCTGCAAGGAGCCAATGAACCGTATGTTGAGTTCGTTGCAAGACTTCAAAATGTTATAAAAAAAACAGTAGTGGGACAAGACTTACAAGAGCATCTCTTAAAAATGTTAGCTTTTAAAAATGCTAATGATAAATACAAAAGGGCTTTAATTCCAATAAAAGATACTGGAACGATTGAC